TATAATCTTTTGAGTGACAAAAGTATTGACACAAATGGGAACTAATGTAACGAATATATTCTATAACCTAAGGCTCTATTATCTGGTGATTGTCAGCACTAATATGCCGTCGCTTTCGGGGCGACACGACTTCACGGGCTGTATATTTGATGACACAATCAATTTTCAATGCTATTAATTCACATTATATTTTTTGTTTGAATTCTCAATCATTTCATTAGTTATATATCCCTCGAGTGGTGTTTATTTTACAAATGCAATGAATATATTTTTAGGTATTTAGACACTTTTAACAGTCGTTTCTTTCTGCAATTGTTTATATGTTGTAGATTTATAACCACTTTTAACTTACAATAATATTACAACGCTAAATTTAATTGATTAACCAAACCTAATTTATACAAATTCTTTAAAGTTATAATTTCATATAATAAGAATAACTTAAATATTTTTATATACTTATAAATAATTCATCGCGAAATAAAACTTATTTTTATGAGATGTGAATATCTTTAAGAAGTTTATTATAAACACAATAAACATATTTTACTTAAATTATATTATAGTATCAATAATAATAAAAATTTATGTTATTTTAGTGAAAACATTGGCACCGAAAACATCCGCATTTTTCTGAACATTATGTCATCATATGATGAGTACATTCGTTGACTAATCCCATGAAATACGCTAAAAATGTAATAAAAGTCACAAATGTATGCAAAATATGAAATTAAGTTTATGAATTAGAGTGAAATCTAATTTTGGAGCACAGATTGCATGCAAATTAAATTAAAAATTAATTAAAATCTAAAGGCATCCCATTTAAACAGCTAATTCCCTTCTATCCATATATGACCTTAAATTAGGCAGACCTAATATTATATATCCTGCATAATTTAATAATTAGATTTCTAAACAATAAATTAATAATAACTAATTCTGTACAATAAATATTCCTGTAATATACGAGTCATAGTATGGATGATATAGACATCTAACGAATGGATAACAAAATACTGTTTTATTGGATACAAATGTATTACAAAACCTGATCGGAATATTCTTGATTTTTAATTTATTTTAAATTTCAATTAATATTATGTCATAATCTTATGAATCACCCGAGTTTTAATGACTTGTATTTAATGGAAAACAGATCCGTTATACAGTAGTTGTATTTCATCAAACAAATAACAAGTTTGTTGACTCAAGGGATTTGAAGAAAACACAATAATAAAACTTTTTTGCTTATAATTATAGCAATTTTTTAGTTTACTACTAAAACACAATAACCAAAAGTCCTTTACATTATGAGATAATATCCATCACTTGTTTACTAAAGAAATTGTTGGAAATTTTTGCCACAATAAAACAATTTAATGAATTGGAAAAAGTACAATAAAAATAGCTTCAAAAACATATATAAAGTGATTGAATTCACAGAATTTCATAAGAAATTCACTCACAATTGAATTTTGAGTGTAATATTATCATCGAAACACATAAACAATGCAATCGCGAGTTATATTTTATGCATTACTTGTGGTATTGATTGTATTGCAAGTAATTTATGCGAAACCAGACATTTCGGGTGACATTCCCGGGGCTGACAAATCAATTGGTGGCCAAATAGTTGGCAATGTAGTGAACCCCAGGGGAAATGGATGTAACGGACCATTGGATAGGAATGAAGCCGTTTGTGTCAAACACTGCACTGATATTGGCGTATGAATTGATTTTTTAACAAATGATATGAATTATCAAAAATTTATTTTTATTACATTTTGTAACATTATTATATTTTCTAGTTTTCCAAAGGGTTTTGTGACCTAACCTATGGTTGGTATCGATGCCATTGCTTGCCTTAAACATGGGTTGNTAATTCATAAACTTAATTTCATATTTTGCATACATTTGTGACTTTTATTACATTTTTAGCGTATTTCATGGGATTAGTCAACGAATGTACTCATCATATGATGACATAATGTTCAGAAAAATGCGGATGTTTTCGGTGCCAATGTTTTCACTAAAATAACATAAATTTTTATTATTATTGATACTATAATATAATTTAAGTAAAATATGTTTATTGTGTTTATAATAAACTTCTTAAAGATATTCACATATCATAAAAATAAGTTTTATTTCGCGATGAATTATTTATAAGTATATAAAAATATTTAAGTTTTTCTTATTATATGAAATTATAACTTTAAAGAATTTGTATAAATTAGGTTTTGTTAATCAATTAAATTTAGTTTTGTAATATTATTGTAAGTTAAAAGTGGTTATAAATCTACAACATATAAACAATTACAGAAAGCAAACGACTGTTAAAAGTGTCTAAATACCTAAAAATATATTCATTGCATTTGTAAAATAAACACCACTCGAGGGATATATAACTAATGAAATGATTGAGAATTCAAACAACAAATATAATGTGAATTAATAGCATTGAAAATTGATTGTGTCATCAAATATACAGCCCGTGAAGTCGTGTCGCCCCGAAAGCGACGGCATATTAGTGCTGACAATCACCAGATAATAGAGCCTTAGGTTATAGAATATATTCGTTACATTAGTTCCCATTTGTGTCAATACTTTTGTCACTCAAAAGATTATATGAAATGATATGTCTTTCGACACCAGAAACGAAACAAAAAGAGTGCAGAAAAACAAAGACAGAAAGTTTTATTTTTTGTCTCATTTTGTTTGCTTTAGCTATGAATCAAATGGTATTAACAGTTTCTCGCACTGTATTCCTCTTCAGAGATTATCTTCAAGTGTGCGGAAACTCTTTGCCATTGTTTTCATATCAGAGGAAAAATTATTGTTTAATGGAATAAAAGACTTAGACATATAATATATAAGTTTACCTATATCAGTTTGCTTTGAACACAATATCTAATTCAACATAATATTATTTGTGCTAACTTGTAAAACTGGAATCAAAATGTTATTCACATAAAAAATCAAATTCGTTACCAAAATATTTTGCATTGATAAAAACATATCATTTTTAAAGTATGAAATAGAAATATTTATAAAATTAGCTTTAATTATGCCAATAAATTACAAAGTAAGTACTTTATTAATGTAATAAAATATACTGAATAACTGACCACTATAAATTCTAGTCAGTATGAAGTGCTGTATTGCTTTACTAATATAATAACAAGGATTTACATAATTTATAGACAAAATGTGTTTAAAAAACATAGACAGACACGAGATTAAAGAAGCGATAAAATTAAATATAATTACAGAGAGAAAGGAAACGACTAATCGCTTAAGTATTACCATTGATTTAATGAAATATAAAAAAGGACTTTATTATGAAAGCGAAGGAAATCCTTAAGTAAAACTGATTTAAACGATAAAACAAAGCAAAAAATAAATGATAAGAATTAGACATTTGTAGACTTAAGTCACGTTTTGAATGCAATTTTTACGGATTCTTACTATAAGAATACGAATATCGTATCGAAGAACTAAATTCTCTATAATTCTATTAATGTGTTCAACGATTACACCGGATTTCTATCGTATTATATTATTTAGCCAGCAATTGATTCATTAGTATTAGCGCACAGGAATTAACAAAATTATTACTTAAATTGTTTACGACATTAAACTTAAATTGCAAACAAAACTATTTACTTTATAAATAGTCGGAAGATTTTACTGATTAGAGTTTCGGTACACTTTAATAGCGGCTATAATTTAGTTTAATTAACAATAATTAGTTGTTTACGTTTTGCATTTCGAGCGAAAAAACATGTGCCCCAGCTAAATATAGTTTTAAAATTAAGTGTTTTCTAATAAAATGACAGCAATATTTCTCTGGACATCTATTTTTAGGGATTTACTCCGCAAAAAACATGCACTAATAGTGGGCTAACTGTGCGATGGATTAAAATATATGACAATCATATCGGGAGAACCGCTGTGTTTGCAGAGCAGCTGTTCTTTGCGAAGATATTATGCGAGAGATTATACATATAATACTCTCTCCATATATATGACAAAACTTGTAATACTTTTTCCTCCAAACCCCGAGATGTATGGATAGCCATATAAATGCAGTCAATGTAAGAATGCATTAGATATTAAAATTTTGCTTCAGCTCTCTCTCTCTCTCTCTCTCTCTCTCTCTTACTCCTTATTGTCTGACGAATGTCTGTATTATTTCTGTTATATAATACTCCGTGTATTGTATGCCTCGAAGGCGTTGTGAAACAAATCCTATTTTTGATATACAAATGCTGTTTAGAATACATATTGTATGCAATATAACGGACTTTGAGATTAAAATAAATATAAATTTTACTTCAATATAAAGTTCTCTACAGTATATTGTAGTGTTTGTATGGCTTATGCTATTGTTATGAATCATTGAAACACTACATTTTTTGGGTTTGTACACATATATGCCGTAATGTATAAAATAAATATAAATGTTTTGATTAACATTTGATTTATTTATCAGGATAAGTTAAAGAATTATGGCCCTATTTATTCATAGTTATTTAGCACAAATATGTTTCATTACATTGAACAGTATATTATTGTAATTACAAATTATAATTATGTTTAAATTCATTTATTATTCAAAAGGCAATAAAAACAAACAGCTAATAATAATTGCATAAAATTATATGTCTAATAAAACCTATTATTATATACAATATGAATTGTAATGTTTTCATATTTGATTTATACCATTCATTTCAAACCTAAAATCTATTATTATTGTCGACTAAAAACATAAAGCCATAGAATATTAAATATTTTACTACAATATCTCTGAATATAATCATAAATAAAAGAAAATATATGAAAGAATATTCAAAATTCATGTATTTATTGCCTCTTATACTTCCATTGATTTGATTTTATTTCACATTTATTAATAAATTTTATTTATCTACTATTGCATAAGATTTAGATTATATTATACCAAGTCAAGCTTTAAAATTGTTATTAAATTTATTTAATTAACTAGAGCATGTGGTAATATAAAAATATTGTAAAACATAAGAATTAATATAATATTTCTAAAAATATTTAATAAACGCAATTAAAAGGGACTTTTTAGGCCTTTTTATACACTTTTTTGGTTTCTTGTGAAGCATATTACACACTCGTTTACCTTATACAAAATTGTTTGTACCCGGGTATTTTTAAGACCTTTAATGAATAACACTTACTTTTAGCCCTTTTATATGCATTTTACAACTGTTTTTCTACATACTGTTTGAGATCATTTAAAGCCCATTTTACACACTCTTAATACCAGTATTGAAACTACGGTAGACTTAAAACTATACAAACATTTTCATTAATCATTTATTTATACCCTACAAATTAACACAAAATACATTTTTTAGGCTTTAAACTAAAATAGTAATTTTCATCGAATAAAACTAAATTATTTTGAATTTCACACTAATTAAAAAGGATTTTAACATTTTAAATTAATAAGGGTTAATACATGTATTGTATACTGTACAGTACAATAAAAATTCTGTATATATTCTATTTACACAAATTCTTTGTCTTAAATACTATACACAGAATTGTATTGTTGTTTAAGCAATGTATGAGAAAAGCAATAGATTTTTAATCATTACAATAGAGACCGACAATTGTGTGTAATTATAACAGCCATAACATACAACATATAGTAAAGTAGAGATATTGTTCATATTTTTGGGGCTCTAATAGTTTCGCTTAACGTTAATGATATAGAAATGAGAATTAGGGAAAGGGAGAGTGAGACCTATTATTTTTATGGCTATAAGTTTTGACAAATTATTTGCCAAAATAAGGTGATTATATAAAATATAACTTTTAATAGAGTATTAAGGTTTAATTATAAATAATTAAAAGTAATCACAAGCTTTTGGTGCTATTAAGTTAGAGAAACGGCATTAAAGTAGAAAATCATAAAACATTTTTGTTTCTATTTTTAAATTTGAGTTAAAAACTATATCAAAATTGATTTTAAGCATTTTCATTTTACATTTTACTAGTTTATTTAAGATTGTTAACATGTATTTTGTATTATAATTTAGTACAGAATAGTATGTATTTCTGTATAGCATATATTTTATAATAAAATGTTTAAGTTTAATCTAAAAGTCAAATATTATGCAAACTATATATAAAACAAATTCTGATCAGAATATAAGCATCAAAATTAATTGAAGGATTCTGGCAGTGCTTACCTTTAGTTAACATCATATTATATAAACATCTCTATCAAAATATACAATTCATTAGTGCTTACAGTGTATTATAAACTGAATATTTATAAACATATTCCGAGAAATTTTAAAACAATGTTTTGCCAGAAATTCTGGGGAAAAAGCTTCAACAAAATAAACACAATTTTTATCGTATTATATAAAAATCTTGCTTATTCCCTACAAAATTATAACTTATTATAAAATAACGTTTATCTTAATAGTTAAATAAATAATTTAATTTAATGACTTTCTCTAAATTGACTTAAGTTTTAATAGTAAACCATAAAATTTAAGTATTATTTCTCACATCAATGGTATATATAAGGAGATAATTAGCAAACAAGTAATAAAAAAATATGCAAAACATAATTAAGAGGAGACACTAATAAAGGGAATTAATAAGTAATTTATGAATATTTTAAACGCAAATTTCATTATATTTAGTCATTAAAAGCAAATTCAAACTGTTTCCAAATGAGCATTTTTATTTTTCATTTATTGATCTCTGCAAACTAAAATAGTATACATTGTATTTTACTTAACATTGTACAATAATACATTTATTAAAACATAATTTTCATCGTAATTATCAAATATTAATTGAATTTCTAAGAGATATAATTTTCAATTAAAACATAATTAAATATATAAGAAAACTTTCCAAACATATCAGTGTCAATGATCTTGAAATCTGGATTTATAGACTTATATTATTTTTAAATGAAAAAAATATCCCAAACAAAAGGTTTAACTTTTAAAAATCAGCACAAAATAAGACTTTAATCAAACGGCTATAATAGAGAAATAGTGCCACAATTCCTATACTTTTTTGGCCTTCAATTCCTTATCACCAAAAATAGTTGAAAATGACATCTATTTTATAAAAGGGAATTCAATAGATAATAACGCGATGAAAGGGAACGGGAGGTCATCGAGTGTAAGGGTGCTATAGCGTGGAAAATACTACAACAAAATTCTCAAACTATATGTGACTTTAAGATATCAGTTGTCACACAGAAAAGCGATACGTTTTCCTTTGACACACAGTTTTAGACAATAGATATTCACGTACTCTCGTTATAGTGAACACAAAAAAATAAATTTTACACTATAAGCAAAATAATATCATGCTTACATATCAATATTTACTACCTATCACAATTTGTTCAAGTACATCACAATTTAATATTATTGGTATTAATAGCAATAAGTTCACTATTTAAAGACTTATCAAAAAACAAGAGTTTATTGTAATTTCATTTGAAAATAGGGGCGAAGTGTGTGATAAGAATGA